ATAAAAATGATTCCACATTTTCATCCTACCAGAAAGTATTTGTTTACATGCAATTAGGTTTGGGTAAAACAACTGCAAAGGTGATGATTTGAATACCCACATATCCATGAAATTCCCACTTGGCCAGCAATCTAGGCAACTTTAGTCAGTAACCATCTCTCAGCCCATCCTATATCACAGGGCTATTGTGAGGAAAAAAATAAGGAAGAATCTGCCATATGCAACCCTGGGTGCTGTGGCGAGATGGGGAACTACAAACAACAAATACAATGTGATACTGTGCAATGCACATCTTACACTTCATAATTTCAGATATTTAAATTTAATCCAAAACTCTAGTCACTAATTCCACCTCCAACTACATCACAATTATTCCACAAGGTCCTTTAACCTTCCATAGCAGCTTTTTAAGGGGTCAGCAAGCTTATGAAAGCCAGCGTGACATAGTGGTTTGAGTACTGGACTATGACTCTGGAGACCAGGCTTTGAATCCTGGTTCAGCCATAAAACCCACTGGGTGACTTTGGGCAAGTCATATACTCTCAGCCTCAGAAGAAGGCAATGGCAAACTCCTCTGAACAAATCTTGCCAAGAAAACCCATGATAAGTCAGAAACGGCATAAAGGCACACAACAAAAAAATTACATGGCATGGGAATCAATGCCCCCACCCATATGCAAGTAAAATGCAAAGTCAATACAACCACTTTGATTACAGAGGGTACAATAATTTTACTAGAACAGCCCCCTATATCTCAAAAGAGGGGAAATTAACATATTTCCTAAAACTTACCAGTTCTATCTGTTTTGTTTCCATGGGTACAACTTCTGCAACTGAAGACTCCACTTCAGCTGGCTGAATTTCTTTTTGAACAGGTGGTAGCTTTGTTCACAAAGGTAATAATAATAATAATAATAATAATAATAACAACAACAACAACAACAAACAGAATACACAAATGTGTGATTTCTAGCAATAAGTTAGCAATCCCAATTTGAAGTTTTGGTCTTGACATTCTATGCAGTTTGGAACTGAAAGAACAATTGCATACACATGAATCAGCCCAGACCTTAATACCACCCTCAGAGGCCCTGCTCTCTGGTATGTTTAGAGAGAAGTTAGGCTAGCAATTACCAAGGATAGGGTTTTTTTAATAGTGGCTCCAGAAATGTGGAATTCCCTCTTCCAAGAGGCAGACCCACCAGAATTTTTTTAACATATCTGTAAGATTTTTTTTTCTCAATTAGTTTTTCCTGAATATTTTTATGCTTACCATTTGTTTTTAACTAAGCATAGCTATTTAATTTAATATATAGTTTTTTAATTGCTGATTCAGGGCCTAAGCAGACTATCAGAAATAGTGCACATTAAATTGAGGCACTGCCCTGGCTCAGTGCTAGGGAATCATGGGAATTGTATTTTTTTTCTGAGACACTGAACCTTCTCTGTCAGAGAGCTCTGGTGCCACAATAAATTGCAGTTCCCATAATTCCCTAGCACTGAGCCAGGGCAGTGCCTCAATTTAATGTGCACTATTTCTGGCAGTCTGCTTAGGCCCTAAGCTGCTGGTTTTAAGTCATTTTGTAAAGATGTGTCCTAAAAGGCCAGCTAATAATGTTTGAAATTCTGTATAATACGAATGCTGAGTAACCTAAGGATGAATATAACTGCCTAAGAATAACAAATGTCAGTAAAATAATTTAAAATATGTGTGAAATCTCCAGTATGCATTTTTAAAACCACAGCTATTTATGAAGTTATAAGATATCCTTCTCTCAACATGATTTGAACAATGTATGGCCCAAAAAATAATGACAAAAGGTTTTTAAAAATGCAATAAATTATCCTAGCAAAACATCACTAATAATATAAAAATTTTGAAAACAGTGATAATAGAAGTACAGCACACACAATATTAAAAGAACTTTCTGCACAACTGAATCTCCAAAAACAAGTTGAAATAATAAGGCCTTTACCTGCAACCAGGAAAGCAGTAAATGGGCCAGCTTTGGCTCTTGTGGAAGCCTACTATGAATTAATGCACAATTCAGGTCTTTTGTGAACAATAAAATGCCTACTAGCTTCAGATCTGCATATGCCTTCTTTCTTATATACAGCCACATTCAATTCAGAGATCCTTGTAGGCTTTTTGCATGTATGAAACTCACTTCTCTACAGGCCTAGCCTTAACACATTTCAGAAACAGCGCAAGACACTAATGCTGAATTCTGCTTATGGCTGGCTCATTCTGTATTGAGCCTTCAGGATGATACAGGATGTAAATAAATAAATGATACATCTTGCATACAATAACAGCTTTGAGTATATATAAAGTACATCAGCTGATACAGGTATGTAATCATATAAAACATTTCAGTGGAGAATGTATTTAAATTTGCTGTTTTACCATGAAAAGACAGCACAATAAGAAGGAACTGATAAAAATTATTTTTTTGTCCAAACATCTGTATGGTAAGACACTGTAGTCTTTGAGAAAATGTAATTATTATTTTATAAAATATTCAGTCAATGCTGTTCAGCTTATTCTACATTACCTACCTCTATTTTTATGTTGTAGTCCTGGCCAAGAATACTCTCCAGGAGTTCTTTGATCCTCAGGTCTGAATCAGTTGGAGCAGTAGACTTCAGGGATGCAATTATTTCATCAATAGACCGTGGAACAATTCCAGATTCCGAATGCAACTTCTGAACAGAACCACGAATTTGTGACTTACTCTGTGTGAGATGCTTCACCTGTATTTTTGATCTACTACCAGAAAAAGTTTCTTCCACAGAATCTATAGAAGGCTTCACACCAGGTAAACTACTGCTTTTTTTACTATGTGATTTGTCTAAGTCTAACATTGAACTTATTAGGCTTGGCTTTGACGTTTCTTTACCGATTTTAGAACTTTTTTCACTCAAAGAGGAAACCACAGAAAAAGAGCTAACACCTCTAGCAAGGGTGCTTGGTCCTTCAATGGCATGTTCAGATATTTCTTCCTCTGGCTGCTCAGTGTAAGTACTAACTTTTGGTAGAAAGACAGGAGACTTAAACTGTACTTTTGGACGAACAACCTTTGCATATTTGGGTTTTGGTGGAGGCTCTGGTTTCCTTAATATAGTGAGTTGCTTACTGGTACCTACTAAAGAGGCTATTGCTACTGGCAATTTTTCTCCATACTCTTGACTATCCCTTTTGCATTCTAAGACTGCCTTTCCAGAATCAGGGCTCTGTTTTTTCTCCACACTGACTTCTTTCTTTGGAGATTTCTTTTGATGAGTTGTGACATCTTCTATTTGTTTTTCCTTCTCTGTTACTGCCAGGGAGATCCTTACTTTTTTGGTGATTTTAGAAGTACCCGCTTCAAGAGGATGATGTGGATATTCAGGAAGCACATCTTGAGGGCTCCTTGAGGTTTGGCAGGAATACACTTCTATCTCAGGTGTTTGGTCAGGTGGTGGTGTCACCTCGAATATAGGTTTATTCCAATCTGGAGAAGCAGCAGCTGTTTCTTGTTTAGATTTCAGAAAGTCCTGCCGAGATTCTTTACATATATTCTCACGCTCCTTAAGTAGCTTCAGTTCCTCCAAATAACTTAATCCAAAATGCTCATGTTTTCTAGCCATTTGTTTGCACCTTGGGGAAAACAAACACAGATTTTGGTATATGTTTAAGACTAATTGTGTGATGGAAAGCCAGTAATATTATTCACTTTCTAATTTAGTATATATGTGCAATCACCTATAAACTTGTAGATATAAACCGTACAAGTTTTTTTCTAAAAAAAATGGGGGGGGGAGAAACAAACATCAGAAAAACCCAATATTTGAACATACTCAGGGGAAAAAGAGTAAGAAGTGAAGCCCCACCACCTCTGCAGTTTTATTTTCCCTTTCAACTGACACGATACATATAGGTTGCATCCACACTGAAAAAAGAATCCAGGTTGACACCACTTAAACTGCCATGGCTCAAAGTTATGGAATTCTGGGAATTGTAGTTTTGTGAGACATTTACCCTTCTCTCACACAGTTCTGGTGCCACAACTACAAATCCCAGAATTCCATAGCACTGAGCCACCGCAGTTAAAGTGGTGTCAAACCAGATTATTTCTGCAGTGTGGATGCAGCCCCTATTCAACAAAACAGTATTTATTCTGAGTAAACATCTGTAGGAGTGCCTTGACAGTTATACAGCCATAAGAGAACTGACTAATAATAGCATTCATAAATGTTCAAACTGCTTATCTATTTAAAAAACCAAAACAGCATTTTTACACTATAACAACTACAGTGTATGGTTTTTATTAGGGCTGGGGAGATCATTAATTTACATAGCTGTGCATGTAAGTAATTGCAATAATCGTGAAGCAATAAACATACTTCCTTTGATTTTAGCTGATACAAGTATGTATTATAAAAGAGTGAAAGACTGGTAGGATTTTATCTGCTAGCTGCAGTTTTTTTAACAAATGCCACAGAATCACAGAGTTGGAAAGACCCACAACATTGAAGGAATCCAACCCAGTGGCAGAGGCTGTATAAAACACGTTAAAATAATTGTATTTATAAAGCACATATATCTACAGAGACAGAAAACTATACATCTATAGCAGGGGTCGACAACTTTTTGTTGCCGGGGGCCGAGGGGGAATGGCGCCGGGGGCTGGCGTGCACGCGCTTGCTCCCGCACACGTGCATGAGCATCATGCCCACCATCACGTGCATGTGTGTGCGCGTGGGGGGCGCCATTTTGGAAGGGCCAACAGCGCTCTGCATGCGCACGACGCGGTGTGCCATTTTGGAATGCCCAACGGCGCCGGCATAGTGCGAATTCACACGGCGCCAGCACCGTTGGGTCTTCCAAAATCGTGCCCGCAGCTGTGCGCATGCATGCATGAGCATGAGCGCCATTTTGGATGCCAAAATGGCGCCCGTGCTAGCTCATGGTGTGGCGGCGGCGGCACTCAGCCCACGAGCCATAGGTTGCCGACCCCTGATTTATAGCATAGTGATTTTTGAGTGATGGACTATAACTCTGGAGACCAGGGTTCAATTCCCAGCTGGGTCAAGAAACCCACTGGGTGACCTTAGGCAAGTCACATGCTCTCAGCCTCAAGA